CGATACCAAAAATTATGTCTTCCAGAGCAAAGAGGTGCAGCGTGAATAGCAGGCAATCAAAATTATGTACAGTGATCTGTTCATACAAACAGAGGTTGGCAAGTGTGAAGGGAAAACAGACACAGCGTGCTTAAGCTGAACAATTTCCTGATGTTGGGGCCCTAGACATTTGGATCAATTATACACATGCAATCACTAGAGTAAGCTTGAATGTGCGCTTAAAACGATATCGCACGACACTCGTAGCGTTGAATGAAGCGCCCGTTTTTCTACCGAGAGCTGTCGTGCAAGCACGTTGAGAAATTGTTCAATTCAGACTGTATTATAACACAGCGTATTTATACGTAAGAGTATTTACCGAGCGCACTGCTGAATTCGCATCGCTGAACTTCTTGGTTGTCGTCTCTCCGTCTTCCTTTCGCGCGAAGTCCACCCACCTTGAACCCCGGGTGATCAATTATCGTCTCTTTAACATCCAACAGAACACGACTCAGAGGGCACCGATGCACGGTGATGTTTTCGCCGCACCAAAATGTGCCTCCAGCAACTCAGAAGCTGAGAGCACTTGCTGCTCGGCTGTCAGCAAATGGGGCCCCTCGCGACGCCGCCAAAGCTTCTGTGGCAACTGTCAGAGCCAGCGAGTGTCGGGTAGTATTCCCTGATTACGTCCCTGACGAAACTTGAACCGAACATATCAAAAACGTAGCGATAGTCCGTGGAAGATCGATCGCTTTGGCTCGCCCCGTCCGCGAGCGTGAACGTCGCAATATTCATTGAGTTTGGCACCTCCGGCTGCCTGACAACTACAAAGTTATGTCAATCGCCAAACTGAATCGTGACGACATTTTGAGGTTACCGCTAGCTTTATTTTTTTACCAGCATAGCTCGAACTCCATCGGAATCCGTAAGGAAAAGCTCAATCGCAACGCCACATCACGTGACCAAAAGGGCAGCCATTCAGCGACCGATTGAGTTAACTTCATCGTTGAGTTTGCGATCTAGCATAGAAAGACTGAAAACTAAAACCGATTGAAGAGAGGAAAATGCACATCACTAGAGATGTACTTCCAGGGGTGTTTAAGAAATAGGCACTAAAAGGAAAATCGATATCTTTGGAGACATGAATGCACAGCTAGAAGACTTCCACGGATAAACAGATCCTACAGGGAAGATGCTACAAGAATTCTGCGATGCTCTCGATCTAGTCGTTGTTACCGCCAAAGCAAAATGCGACGGAAACATAACGTGGGGGGAAGCAATTCGCACTTAACAATTGATTACTGTCTAGTATCTAGCAAATTATGTAACATTATAGGACACATGGAAATAGATGTGGAAGGCACGAAAAGCTAAGGAAGTGATCATAAGCGACTTAAATAAAGTTTGTTGCAGCAGAACCAGAGAACTAAATTCTGGAACGAGAAAGTATAATGACCCTAAACACTGCCCAACTACAAGAAGTATCAGAACGAATTGAAAATAAAGTGTGCAAACAGCTAGACAGAATATGGACATAATGGTGATTTAGTCAACAATTTTAAAAGATAGAGAAGTTCAAAATTGAACATGGAGGAAAAAGGAGAAGGAAGCATACACCAGGAAGCTGGTGGGACAGTGAAGTTAAGGCGGCCATAGCAGGGCGACAAGAGGCCTTAAAAGAACCCAGATGGGCGAAGAAAATGGGGAAAACACCAGCTGAGGTAGCATCGAAATAGAATATGTTGGAGTGGTAGTAAAGATGAAGGACAAGACGACCCGATTATGCATCGATTTTCGACAACTAAATGAGGTGCTGGTACCTGATTGCGAACCGATACCCCGAGTCGACATGATGTTTGCTCAAGTCAGCACAAAGAAGTACTTTTCCAACTTTCATTTTGCGAATGGTTACTGGCAAGTGCCAATGGCGCACGGACCGGAGGACGCGACTGCGTTTTCAACGATGTCAGGGTTATATCGGTTCAAGTTCGTGCCCTTCGGCATGAAAACAGCCCCGGCTGTATTCACTCATTAATGAGGGAAGTCCTGGATGAAGTACCAAACACACATCATTATTTTGATGATGTACTAATCACAACTGCCAGCTGGGAGGAGCACGAGAAAACCCCGAGACAATTTTTAACGAGGTTAAAACAAGCTGGGCTTACCAACAAGCCAAAGAAAACAGAGATCGGCTTCTCTGGATAACATTTCTCGGACATCGAGTTGGACAAGGAACGTTTGAGCCGTTAACCGAGAGTTTGGAGAAAATTCAAGGCGCTAAGAGACCGCAAACAAAGACGCAAGTCAGATCGTTCCTATGACTAACGGGATATTACCGGGAATTGATTCCCAATTACGCCGAGACGTCACTCCCTCTGACGGAACTGACAAAAAAAAAAAGGCACCCATCAAAGTCATCTGGGAAGACAAACACGCCAAAGCTTTTGAGGAGCTACAGAAATCCCTCTCCGACAAACCGATTTTGAAGTCTCCGGATCTTTCGAGGGCTTTCATCCTGAGAACAGACGCTTCGAGAAGATGCTTGGGTGCTGTGCTAATGCAAGAGCACGATCGGAAGATGCACCCTGTTGCGTATGCTAGCCGGTTGTTGCCGCGAGATTCGGTTGTTGCCGCGACAAGTTGCATATTCAGCGATCGTGCGAGAGTGTCTCGCTTTTGTATGGGCGGTGCAGAAATTTCACCTCTTTTTATTTGGAAAACACTTCACGGTTCAAAGCGACCATCAACCTTAAAAATACATTCACTCCGCCAAACAAATGAACAGCCGCGTGCTGCGATGGAGTCTGCTGCTGGCTGAATACGATTTTCACGTCATGTACATTCGGGGCAGTCAGAACTTTGGGGCTGACTATTTGAGCCGACTATATTACGCTTCCGTAAAGGGTGAGATTCCTCAAACAGTTGCGAGTGCTTCTATTTAGGTGAAACAATTGTTTTTTTTTCCTAAGTGTATAACTTTTTGGTGTTTACTTTCTGTTGTTGGATCTTATATAAACAATTGTCTTTAAAAGGAGGGTGAATGTAATGATATGGGCTCAGCAAACGACGAGGAAGACAACGCAGATGAACGCTGTCATCACATGGATAATCAAAGATGAAGAAGACTGCAAGACCGTGTCAGGGTATGAGAATTAGAAAAAAGAAGAGGAGGACAACACGAGGAGGGTGAACGGGACACACGCTCGACCGAAAAAGGCGGTTGGGCATCGGCACCCGGCTCAACACCAGCGGTCCCGGCAGTCTAGGAAGATTCCGGACGGGCGCCAACAGGCCCGTGGGGACTTTGAACCTGCACACAGTGGACCGCCGCCGTTAGCCAAGCTGAAGCCAGAAAACCTACGCCTGGGCCGACCCAGCCTGCCAGGCTCCAGAACCAACGTTACGACAACGAGGCGTCTTCTCGGCAATAACATCGTGTGAGCCGTAGGCGAAGTCGGCGGACTGAACTTTGCACATAATTTGATGACTCTTGCACCTTGTTTCCCTAGTATATCTGACTTTTAATTATGATTTCCTACTCTGTAAATAACATCTTTCTTCTTGCAATTACCGCTCCGGAATTCTGAGTTCCTTTCTTATCCATTCCCATCACAGTGTGGTTGTGTCGTTCTAGCATTGGGGAGTTCTAGTAGGTGCCTTCCTCGACAGGTAGACACAACCCAAAGTGGGTGCTAGCAGAACGAAATTAAACGTCCTTAAATTCGGGCAAATAGACAAGGGCAGTGTCATTTTTTCCCTTTTACTTTTTTTTTTTTCGCGCGCCTCAAGGTAACAAAAGCGAAGACTTCCGTCGAGCTTCCCTCCTCTACAAAAGCGTACTGAAAAAGCGGAACTAAAAGCACCCCCTCCTCCTTTCCTTTACCCACCCTTTTTTCCAAGTGAACTCTTCCCGCGTAAATAAATGATCTCATTTCGGCGATCAGCTTGTTTGCACTTCCTTTGTCGCCTTGTTGAAGACTTGACTGTGTCCGAGCAATGTGTTTTTCGTGCAAGCTGGCTGTCGTTTGGACGATGTCGTACGCAGTTGCTCGTCGCAAGCTGATGCTCGTTCTCGTGGATTGAATATGCTGTTCACTTTTACATGGAACAGACATAAACGCCACATAGATAACCTTCTCTCGTGGGGTAAGTACATTTTATTATTATTTCTTGGGTAGACTTTTCTCGCAGCGGGGTCGAAGTTAGAATCGTATAGACACGGGTCGAGATAGAGCAACCGTCTTGGGCATTTACGCGAACATGCTAAAGGCGCGAACAACAGTTCGTTCTGCAATCGGCGAAGCGGTAAAAACGCTCACTTCGGCTTTCGGTAACTACGATCAAACATCATCAAAACGTCGTTCGATCAAGGTGCGCCCGCGGAGCGGAGACCAATGAGTGTCGGAGGACAGATCTGATTTTAGAGTCATCGCATCGAATCCAAAGACAACGCCGGGCTTCCAGTGCATTAATTCCAAATATCGTGTCAAATAGCGCCTAGAGAAATCCATTTAAGGTCAGGCAATGTGAACGGAAGTCTTGTTTTACGCGTTTTATGGCATTTATTCTTCTCCTACGTCGTTGTAATTTCCACGGCCTCGACGGACACCCGCGGAGCTTCACGCTTCCTAAGCTTCCGGGTTCCGACAGTCCGGTACACAACAGTCCCTACAGCTTTGGCATTTGGTCTACTGCGACATCCCATAGCAATGTTCAATCAATAAATCAATCGAGTTTATTGTCATGAGTTGCATCGTACAATTTATTGAGAACCATCTGGGCCCATAGCCTTTTGGCTAGTTTGGGCCCATTTTAATAATAACATATTAGGGAGGCAGCACTCTTAAGAAGTATTACTGGAAATACAATAAAAGGAAAAGAAAAAAAAAAGAAAGAAAGAAAGACAATAGAAAATAAACGTAGAAAGTGACTTGTTCAACTATATCCGGTAATGTATACATTATATAATAAAAACACGAGGAGCACGAGTGTATTCAAAGTGAAAGGAATTTTTATGAATTCAATAACAGAATATGCGATTGAGTTTCAGGATGGTGGGAGACATGTTCTATTTAAAAAAATATAGTATTTCAAAGCGCTGTTAAAGTTGCCTGACTGGGTGACTGAAGATGGTAAAGTGTTCCAGATTTTAGTTCCGCATGATTGCATCAGTCGCTCGCCGTATACGTTATGAGACCGTGGTATGTTAAAGTGACCAGATGTGTTCGCCCTTGTTAATCGGTTACCCTTAATTAAGATGTTCGCTGGCAGTGGATTGTTTGATTTAAAAATATTATTTATTAAGCAAGCAATCTTATATTGTTTAATTTCCAGAAATGTGAAAATGTGAAGTTGATGAAATATGATATGAGACGGTTGGGAATAGTGGGAGTATGTCAAGATTCTGAGGGCTCTCTTCTGTAATTTAATCAATGGCAAAAGGTAAGTGTCATAAGTTACGCCCCAGGCCTCAATACAATATGTTAAATGACTATGAAATATAGCAAAATATATAAGTTTCATCGTGGGAGTGTCAAAGCATTGTCTCGCCTTCAGTAAGACATAACAAGCGTACGTTAACTTTTTGCATGTATTTATAATGTGCTGTTGCCAATGAAGATGAGAATCTAATGTTACTCCCAGATATTGAAATGAACTAACTTCTTCCAGGATTGAATTTCCGATGCAAATTTGGAAGCTGTTGGTATTAACATCTTTTTTATTGGAACGAAAAACTATATACTTAGTTTTATTTATATTTAAAGTCAATTTGTTAGAATTAAACCACTCCTGGAGAACTGTAAGTTCTTGATTGATTGTGTTTTGTAAGTTATGCAATGAATGGTCCGTGTAAATTAAGACGGTATCATCAGCGTACATTATTATGTCAGAGTTTAAAGCCATGTTAGGTAAGTCATTAACGTACAATGAAAAAAGTATCGGTCCCAGTACAGAACCCTGAGGAATTCCGGTGTTTATTTGTCTCATCGAGGATTTATGATCTAACAAAGAAACGAATTGCGAACGAGATGACAAATAACTTGTAAAGAAATTTAAAGAGTGACCTCTGAAACCATATCGTTGTAATTTATTAAGAAGAATTTTATGGTCTACGGTATCAAATGCCTTTTTAATATCTAAAAATACACCGATACTAATGTTATTGTCATTTAAGGACTCATTTATTTTCTGAGAGAGAGAGAGATAACAGCACTAGCAGTTGACTTATTTGGACGGAATCCATGTTGATGCGGGGTGATAATATTGTATTTTTCTAAAAATGAGTTAATGCGTCGTACAATTAATCTTTCGAATAGTGTATTAATCGTGCTTAAAACTGATATAGGCCTATAATTTACAGGTTCATTAACGTTCCCACATTTATGTATTGGGCAGACTTTAGCGATTTTTAGTGAATCTGGATATACACCTTCTGTTATAGAATGGTTAAAGATATGTTCCAATGGAGAGCTAAGTACATCAATATTGCATTTTAAGACCTTAACTGAGATGCCATCAGAACCTGCAGATTTTTTATTAGACATTGAATTAACTAGATTTATAATTTCTATAGTCGTAATTTCTTCAAAAATAAAAGTTTTTGGAAGGAAGTCAGGTAGAGAAACGGAATGTGCACTGCCGCTGGCAATGTTGTTAGCTAGGTGGTCTCCAATATTAATGAAGAAAGAGTTGAATGCGTCTGCAGTCTCATCCGTGACTATAACAGGAGTTGTTTGCTTTTGCGATCTTGGCTTAATAACAGAGTTAATCACATTCCACGTTTTCTTGAAGTCCCCATGACTTTCGGATATAAGTTTAGAGTGATATTCTTTTTTACGCGTTCTTATCAGTGATAGAGATAGGTTGCGATGCATTTTGTATTGTGCCAAGTTGTAAGAATTATGTTTATGACGTTTCAGTTTCTGCTGCCACATGTTCTTCTCTTGAAGTGCGCATAAAATTTGACGAGTCATCCAGGGGCAGATCGGTTCTGAATAATGTGGTTTTCTTAATTCACTCGACGAATCAGCGATTGCAGTTTTTAATACTGTGATAAAATTTCCAAATTCGATGTTGATATCTGAATTGAATAGTAAATCAAAGTTAAATGCCGATAATTTTCTATGCAGAAGTTCGTAATTAATGCGATACCTTAAATGGGGTGTACTAAGGTGAGGTGTTTCTTCAGCGTTTATAGGTAGAAATATGAATATTGGAAAGTGGTCGGCAATGTTTGTCTCATATACACCAGCACCGTCGTGTGAGTCTTGATTACATAAGATGTGGTCAATGAGCGTGGATGAATCGGGTGTCACTCTTGTTGGTTCTGTTATTACATTCGTAAAGTTAAATGACTGTGTTAGAAGTAGATAATCTGAGGGCACAGTTTTACACAAATCGATGTTGAAGTCACCACAAATGACAGATTTCTTACTGCTTTGTGAAATAAATGTAAGAATATCTTCCATTTTATTTAGGAACAAAGACATAGATGAATCCGGCGGTCTATATACAACAGCCACCACGACACCATAACAAAGTTCCAAAAAGAGAGCTTCTATATCATTAGTTGAACATGTTAGATGAGGGAGCGCATTAAATAATATAGACGATTTTATATACAGTGCAACACCACCGCCTCTATGAACTGCATTTCTAGGTAGCGAAACCACAACATACCCAGGAATATCAAAATGATCGTCACTTTTTAGCCACGTCTCGGTTATGCCTATTATATCATAAGTAAACGAGTGTTGGGATAGAAAAGCAAGAAGGACGTCTCCATTTTTGTGAATACTTCTGACGTTGCAGTGTAGCACGGAAAGACAAGCTTTCTTTGAGTATAACGTATTCACCGAGGTGACAGAAAGCATTTTAGTTCAAAGTCTCAATTTATTGTACAGAAGCAGAGGGGGGTAGGGCATTACACAATTTGTACGAGGTCGTCATCACAGGTAATTTGAATCACCTTTATAACATACCCCGGAGGGGTATGTTATAAATAACATATGTTATAAATAAATAACATATGTTATAAAAAAAATAAATAACATATGTTATAAATAACGTATGTTATAAATAACATACCCCGGAGGGTATAGCACAACATGGCACGGCCCAATAACTGTAACTTCCGTACTGTACAGACTAGCGCTGCATGTAGTAAATAGGCGAAAAGAAGAACAGGCCGAAAACATTTTAGATGAGCTGCAGAACGGGTTCCGTAGAGATAGAAGATTAGATGATAACTTATTCATTATGTCTCATTGTGTAGAGGTGGCACGGATGGGAAAAAGCTGTCATAGAAAGCATTTCTAGACATTAAGGGGGCGTACGATAATGTGGGTCAGGAAAAACTCTGGGTGCTGCTGAAAGAGTATGAGTTAGGTGCACACTTGATGATGCTTCTATCAGGTATAAACCAAAAATAAGGCTGTTATAACATGGGAACCAGAAATTGCAGAACCAACAGAAAAGATGGCCCAGGAAGGGTTGTCCCCTATCACCTCTACATTTTATGGTATACCTAAGTAGATTTGAAAAGAAATAAGAAAAATGCAATTTAGGTTTTGGAGTGACACATATGGATAGAGTCGGAAAAGTAAACCAAGTAATACCAGGAATGTCCTACGCATACGACATTATAGTGTTGGCGGATAGCCGGGAAAGGTTAGAGGAGCTCATTGAAGGGCTGCGGAACTGAGATTAGGATTTCACAAAATAAGATAGCAGGAGTGTTACACGGGGCGTCACAAACCCCAAAACACCCCTTATAAAGTGATATCTCGAACGGATGGCCGTATTTTTGTAAAATAAGGATGCGACTGGAGGGAGAATCGCGACGTCGCATTTCCTGCAGAATTGTTGAGGAGGAGGGGAGACGGTCTTGCTTCCTTCTCTCTTTTCGTCCTGACGGACTCAAAGCGAGGAGAGGACGAAACGAGAATAGCGACGTCACGGGCTTTTCTGGCCTTGTTCAAGCGCGCTCTTCTTTCACAAACACACCACCATCCGTTGGAGATATCGTTTTATGAGTGATGCTTTCGGGTTTGTAGCACCCCGCCTAGCGCTTCCGCGTTGTTTTCTGAAACCGAAATTTCGGTTCAGCATCCCTTTAAAGTCTGTGGAGAGGGAGGATGCTCTATGGGCCTAGAACTCAACAGTGACAAGTCGAGAATAATGCTTCATGACGATGAGAAGGGGGAGCCGCTGAAAATTCAAGACGTTTTAATTAAACACGTAGAGAAATGTAAGTACCTGGAAGTATGGCTGAATGCTGGTATACCATACTTGGAAAAACAGGAAGAAACTATGCTAAAGAAAGGAAAAAGTAATGCAGCTATTATGAAGCATTGGGCACTATGGAAGTACGATAAATATAAAGTTGTTCGGGGAATATGGGAAGGAGTAATGGTATCGCGTTTGTCTTTTGGCAATGCGGTATTATGCATGAAATCTGAGGTCCAGTAGAGCTTATATAGAGACCCGGCAGAGGAGCGTCGGCAGACTGGCACTGGGGGCGCATGAGAATACACGAAATAAAAAAGTGCAGGGGACGTGGGCTGGGCATCTTTCGAGGCTAGAAAGGTGACCTGTAAGTGGAAATATAAATAAAGACAGGGCACAATTGAGGATACACGATGGGCGAGAAAGGTGTATAAGCACCTGTACATGAAAAGTTAAAGGAGCTGTGCAACGATATTCAATTATAATGTTTTTCTCTCTACACGAGCTTACTGGCACACCTGGGACTCAAGGATACTCACACGCAACGCCATTGGCCAAGAAACTCCTTTGTTGCGGTGTAATTTCAAGGACAAAAGCGATCATTTTCATTCAATCTCTCCTTTGCAAAATTTGATGACGTAACTCGGGGATCGAAGTACACCCATGTGACGATATTTGAATGCGGTTCATAGATTGGACCCGAGAATTGCGTGGGCACTCGACTTGGGCTCGTGACAATTGCTAGCTCGAGAAGCATTCGGGTTGTGACCCGTGTCCAATCGCTGCAACGACGACAACAGCCGAGCCATAACAATGTCTGGAACTCAGCGCGTGTCCTGCGCTTTGCCAACCCCAGCGCGTGGCTATGATCAACACTGGCGGCATATAATCGGCTCCAGATCACGTGGCCCCCTGTTCTGGCTGCAAGTTGAGGGGGTGAACGCTGTTCGTTTTTCTTAAATTTTTTTCTGGGACTTCTATTGCGTGGGATGAAAAACGAACGCCTGTTTCATAGGTCATTAACGTTGGGGATCCGTTTTAAGCGGTATTTGTGCACAGCACAAAAATTGTTGCATCGCTCCTTTAAATACCAACCGTGAATTGTGGATGCAGAACAGACTGCCTTTGTGAAAAAGGAAGTAAAAGAAGCCGAGAGATGCGGGGAAAAAGAAAGCAGAAAATAATCTGCTTTAACTATGTATAGGTATGGTGCCTGGATCGGCGTCTTCGACTGGTGTGTTTAGCGTCCTATCCCACCCATACATCAAAAGTTGTCCCAATGTGGCAACAAATGACGTCACAGAAGCCGGGGTACAGTGGCTTAAAGCGGGCAGTGTGGTTACCGCGTAGCCTCCACCATGCATCGGGAACGGCCACTCCTTGGCAGACGGTGCAGGTGGCGCTTCGATCTGCTG